GCTTTCCTGGCTGATGAGTTGAATGTGGATGACAGAGTTCACTCACTTCCGAACACACATACACACACGGATGATCTCTCGACCATATGTGTTTTTGCTCGCTGTAGCAGCGCTATAGCGTTGCACAGCAAAGACGCATAAAAAAAGAAGATAAAAGCAGGAAAGCAGTAATTAATTATGGAAATACTGTGAATGCGTAATGCATGAGAATTCTTATCATTCTTTTAAACTTTTGCATCCTTGTCAAGAGTTAGGCAACTTTCCTTTTTGATAGAGAATGCTTTTTCTTAATCAAGAGATAAGAAACAGAGATGAAGTTGGTACTCCATTACGCCTCGTTGTGCTGTACTCATTTCGGAACTTCAGCATACTTTCTTAGCTGTTGTACGTCGAGGAGTGTTGTTAACATATTTTGTAAACAACCTTTAAATTGAATATAGCAAGTAGGTTAGATGAGATTTTCCAGATAATTTTTATCGCCGTTTTTCTGCGGTAGAATAATTTTCGACCTTATTCAACTGTCGCCGGCCCTTCTGTCCGCTAAATACTGCCTAATCGGAGTGGCTAGAGCTTTTCAAATTTTGTACCCTTCGGGTATGATGAGTTCGAAGTTACTGCCATCACTTCTTGGGGCTTCTCCATCTTTCATCATTACCAATATTTAGGCACAGGTCCATTGGATGAACCTGCCAAACGTCAGATCAAGTACTTAATTCAACCCTCACCCGATGGCAGCCATCGACCGAAGCCAGCATTTGGTGGACCACGAGCGACTCCATCCGGTGGCTTCTATCCTCATGCGCCCAATGCTATCAAAGTTATTTTTCTACCAAATATTGCTGTTTGAAATCTCTAAACTTTTTTCCTTAATTTTCATATTCCCCTTTGGTGTTAATATCAAACATGTCAAGAAAAACTTCTTTCAGTTTCGTTTTCTCTGCTAGCTTTCTGGATTTCTTTTTGCACTTGGAAATTCAGATTCTGAAAAAGAAACATTCACAAAGCTTGAGCTCGTTGACGTCCGGTGGCCTCGACCCTGATAAAGAAGTCGAAATTATACATCAAAACAGGTTCCACCGTCTTGGAGATCCGACGCCCTCAACAGCTTCTCCTTCTGGATGTAACGGTAATTTTCAGCACTGTTTTTGCTTAGCCGTATTCAGAATCATTGTTGGTGAAGACGTCTGTAACTGACACTTGGTTAGCTGTATAAATTCATCGTTTGTACACGTTTTTTCACTTACAGATGTAGCGGACTGGGAGAAAATCTATGATTTACCGCCACATTCGTCAACAATAACTCCACGAGACACGCCGCGTAACGTAGATGTACGTGGTAAATTGGCTGCATTCGAGAGTGTCTCCATGCAAGCTTCCCCAGCGATCCAGCAACGTACGACGACTAGTGATACACATCGCCCTTCAACGGCAATGCATACAGTCGACCATGGCTTACGCAGCCCGCATGATCCGGTTAGTATTCAGACAATCCTAGTGCTTTCCTTCTCTAGAAATAATGGTTTTGGCCCCAATTAATAATCGCGACTATCAAGATCGCGGAAATGGTCGGTGTGTAGCTCCCAGTGTCACCGGGAAACAGCAGAATGCAGTTTAGTCAGGCCTTGTCCTGGCAATCAAATCGAGCTTAATAAATAAAAATAAGTAGTGGCTTGCATCATGGTAGGTGGTGCGATCATGCATTATGTGCAACTCCGCCCAGCAAATCTTTGTGCAGCTCAGCCCGACGGACGCTTTTGCAACTTCGTCCAAGAGAAACTAGCTGTTACAAGTGTTCATTGCTTCACTGTTTGATATGTATAGAAATTAATCTATTTTCTGAGTTATTAATTTTGATGTCAAAACTATCACCTGTCCATACGTGTAACTTCAGCATATACGGGAGCTGACTTTGAGTTTGCGAGATTATACTTGAATAGTAGATCCCCCTTAACATTCATATTCTTGGCTTCTGGGGTCCCGAGTCAAAAACCCCAAATAAAATACACTCGAAACATTTGTACACACAAACACATGCACACAAGATAACTTCAAAATCTCCATCAACATTACAGAAGACGCAGAACATCTTCGCAGCAAAGACCACCTGCCTCCTCTCTTCTCTTTTCCACATGTTTCGTTTATGTCGGGATGCATTCAGGATATGTATGCTGGAGATAGTTTTCCCGAACTCCGTAGCAGTGACGTCGTTTAGTGTACAAACCTGAAAAATGGCTAAGGAATAGCGGGTTGTGGTGGGCAAATGTTTTTGAGGCTTTTCTCATCGTACAGCGGATTTCTGTTTTTCACATGATGTGGTGGCACCACAACATTTCAGCTTCTTGGCATTCTTAGTACATGGTATGGAATAGTTACGCCAGGTATGTAGCCACATCTCACCAGATATGTAGTATCACCGACAACAGCTCCTCATTTTGACTATCCGGATGGACGTTCTTGATGATCTTCGCAAGAATTCCTATTGCTAGACTGAACTGTGGAGAAGCAAACAAACAGACACACTCACACACATGTATGCACAAACACGTCTACACGCAAACACCGAAGCATGCACAAATACTCGCAGACACACACATACAAACATGCCACACCTACATAAGTATGCAAATTTTCGATGTGAGGCAAAAAAGGCAAGGTAAAACAGCAAAAGAAGGCAAAAAGAGGCAAAAGTGCTTCTTGAAGCAAAAAAAAAAAA